GGTGCACCTGCCCCCTGCAATGTGTCAGGTTTGATGCTCCCAGGCTGGGGAAGTAGATACTGTCACAGGTCTGCTAGAAAGTGGGGTTCTGTTACCTTCCTGTGTCCCCAAATTCTAATCCTGCCTCTGCCATTTCATCTCCTCTGGGTTTGTTTCATTATCTATAAAATGGGGCAAATCTTGGGCCTCCTTGGTGGTGCAGGCAGTTGAGCGCAGTGCTGTGAAGCTGTCCGCAGCCTCTGCAGCACCAGTTCGATTCCCGCCGGCTGCGGAGGTACCCATATGGCAGGGCAGACCTCTCCTGTCTCGCCCGCTGTTCCCCTCAGCAGTGTATTTCGGTCTGTCTGCCTGTTCTGTTCCCCGCTCTGTCTCAGGTGAATCCTCTCGCCCTCCTGCACATCTGGCCTGTACCCCGGTTCTTGTATTAAAAAAAAAAAATCTTAAAAAAAAAAAATGGGGCAAACTTTAATTGCTAGCATTTGTTAATACTGACCATTTGGTGCCAGACACCATAGTCATTCCTTTAATCCTATGCTCATTATACAAAGGAAGAAACCAAGGTGAGAGAGGTGTGATAATTAGCCCAAAGTCACAAATCTACTATGTAGCAAAAGTCAAAACTGGAGTTCAGACCCAAGTATGGTATTACAGGTCATAGTGAGAATTGAAAGGCCCCCCTCACCATGGAAGATGAAGAAAGGATGGGAGTTAGGTCCTAAGTCTCCGAACCTGGCATGGGAGCACTGGACCCACAAAGCACATTGGAATCCAAGGGTCTGGGAGAGTCCAGAAACAGCCCTGAGGACATTGGATGGAGGCCAGAGAAGTTGGTTTCCAGGAGGTGCTACTCATCTTGAAATCTCCAGGTGCCTGCACTGGACACATCCCTCTCTGTGATCTCTTACTCTTACTTGTTATAATTTCAATATCTTCAGATTAAATATAAGTATTATATGATGAATTAAATCACTTCCAGCCTGATCACTGAGGTAGAGGGCATTGCCCTTGGAAAGGTTTATAGGGGAGAATGCCCAGTGGGTTGGGGCAGAGAGGTAGTATGGGGTTCAGGCTGGAAGCTGGTGGTCTCAGAGAGCAACTGATAGCCTCAGCTTGTCCCTCAAGTCCTAGTGCCACTTCACATATCTATTATCTGGCTGAGGAATGCAGAGGCAGCTGGGAATCTAGGTTCCTACCTCTGGGACCCAGTTCCATATCCAATCTAAGGGGCTGCTATGCTGTCCCTGAAGCACTGCTACTTGGATTCTGCTGCCACACTGTGGGCACAAGGGGGAAGTGCACCAAAGCCCAGCCCTTAAATGGACCAAAGACTCCAACTGGCTGCCTGGAGTCCTTTAATCTCTTGTCAAAACAAGGGGTTTTGTTATTGATTTTGACTGTCCTCAGCACACCAGCCCCTGGGATTGTAGGTCTGCTCCTTTGTCAAAACTTCCTATTGGGGGCCTCCCTGGTTGCGTAAGGGGTTAAGAAACAACCTATGAAGCTGCCTGCAGCACGAGTTCGATCGCTGGCCAGGGAGCTACCCACATGGCACAGCAGACCTCTCTTATCTCGCCCGCTGTTCCCCTCAGCAGTGTACTTTGGTCAATCTGCCTGTCCTGTTCCCCACTCTGTCTCTGGTGAATCCTCTCACTCCCCACACCTCTAGCCTATACTCCAGCTCTTGTATACATAATCTTAAAAAAAAAACAAAAAAACACAACTTCCTATGGGAAGCCACCTGTAAGAGCAATTGTCAAATTTTAAGAATTTTTGCAAGTCAGTTAATAGCCATTATTAAAAATTTGATTATATCCAATTAAAATACACTAAAAACAAAGGTAATATTTAAAATTAAGCACTTCCTATTTCACTGCTGCCAAGGCTCTTTAATTTCATCTATTGTACACATCTGTACAGTGGAAGCACAATACAATGACTTGTACTTCTGCATCTCTTCACAACTCTGGTGACCTTATGTTGGTATCTTGAATGATGGGCATATTTTCACCATGGAAATTGGCAAACACCACCAATTAGGTTTGACTTACTGTTATTTTTCTAGACCAGTGCTATCCAATAGAAATATAATGCAAGTCACACGTTAATTTTAAATTCTTGCATAGCTAGATTTAAAACATTAACACAAAACAGGTGAAATTAATTTAAACAGCAATTTTATTTAAATTGGTATGTCCAAAATATTATTTTAACATGTAATCATTATAAAGGAATATATTTTACATTTTTTCAAACTAACTCTTTGAATTCCGGTGTGTATTTTACACTTAAATTAGCACTTGCCATTCAAACTAGCCACATTTCAATCAACAGCTGGATTTTCATGTGACTGCCATATTGGACAGCACAGGTCTAGATTTAAGAAATCGATAGAGAAAATATTAACAATGTAGATTAAAGTTGAAAGCAGTACTGAGGAATTTCAATCCAATTCAGAATTTATCCCAACATGAGAAATCAGGTCATTTTATCAGATTTAATAACAATAAACTTACTGGGAAAAAAAGCAGTGTAGCCACCTTAACAGTGACCCTCAAAGATATCAGGTTCTAATTCCGGGAACTCGTAAATTTTTTTATGGTACAGTTTTTTATCTGCAGACCTGATTAAAGATCTTTACATGGGAAGATTATTTTGATTATCTAGGCAGGCCTTAATCCAATCACAATTGTCCTAATGAGCGGCAGAGAGGGAAATGATGTGGCCCTAAGCCAAAGAATGTCAAAAGCCTCCAAAAGAGGCAAGGACCAGAGCCCACACAGGTCCCAATATTCCATTTTCAGCCCAGACATAGTGATTTTGGATTTTTGACCTCCAGAAATGTGAGGAAATAAAATGCTATAATTTTAAGCCGCTAAGTTTGTGTTGCTTTTATAGCAGCTCTCAGAAACTAATACAAACGGATAGGATACAACTTCATTTATGCATTGTATTATGGTTGGAATGTCACCATGGGTAGGCTACAACTATGAAAAATAAGCAAAAGAAAAAAAAATCAACAAAAGCATTCTTTAAGAAATGACTATACAGAATTTATAAGACTACTGTATATTTTATTATTTGTAAATTATGCGCTACATATCTTTTATCTCAGTACAATCTATAACCTTCTATGTGTGTATGTGGCATATACCAGGTCTGGTTTGCATCCTCAGCACCTAGCAGAGCTTAGTACACAGTAGGACACTCAAATATTTTTTAATGAATGAATGTGACTTTGGGCCTCAGTTTCCCCAGCCACACAACAGGGTTGGAGGAATGGGATGGGGTCCCCAGATGGTAGGGCTGATGCCAGATGTTAAAAGCACCTACTATATACAAAACTGGCCTGGGACAGGGATTGATAGGACTCACCACCTGGCCCAAAGAGTTGGTGCCCAGGTAGAATCAGATTCAGTGAGTCAGTATGGGACCCCCAAATTTCCTCCCCTGGTAGGCTTGGGGACTGCTCAGAGAACTACCACAGTCCCAGAGGAGGTGCCATGCAGTCACTATACAGGTACAGACACTGAAGCCAGTGGCTGTAGAAAGGTTGGATTCCCTCCCTCTAGTCTCTCCAGTCCCTCAATCCTGCAGGCAAAGGGCCTCTTCCACCCAGGGCCTGGGAAGAGCCTATCTGGTTTTGACAGCTACAGGAGTTCCTCCCAGCTTCTCAAGGAGCCACATGAGGCCCCACCCCATGTCCCAAGAATCAAGGGCTCAGGAACAGAATCCAGCTGCCCACCACTGCTATGTATAGTTTGGATGACCTCAGGCAAGTCATTCTCCCTCTCAGTTCACTCTCGGGCATCCAAGGCCAAGTCTGCCAAGTCCAGAAGATATCCCTGTAGGCCCAACTGGCTACACGCATGGTCATTCTATAACTGATTGGTAGGAATGAGTCCTGACCCATTACTTGCTCCCTCTCTACTTTTCTCTTTTAAATGGACAGAAGTAGTTTGCCAGGTTTCCACAAGAATTTGACTAAGCAGGCTTGCTTTGGGCACTGGAAGACCACAGATAAAAGTCCAGTCTAGGATCTGGAAGGACTAAAACCCCACCCCACCTCAAAACATCTGCCTCATACCTTGGTCCTTATCCTATACCCTGTACAGTCCTGAACGCAGGGACCAGAAGGGTTTTGCTACAATTGGCACCACAGTGAGGACTTAGTGCATCAAACAAGAATTAAATGAGCAAAATCACTTGCCTATCTCCTACAAAGTCTAGGCTCTTCCCTGCCATTGCTCATGGCTACCCCTCCTTCACTGGCACATAGCCTCTGTGATCACCCCCAGGAAGAGGGGCTTCCAGAACTCAGGAGGATGTGGTCCTGGCTCCTTTCAGTCCACAGCACCCTGGAAACCTAGATACACAATTGATGAAGTCATCCTCCCTGGAGTGGGGGAGGGGGCAGTGGGCAAGTCCACCTCCTGTCCTCAGTTGAAGGCTGGGCACATGGGAGGCCTGTGTCAGCAACTGGTGGTCTCCTCTGGGGCCCTGGTATGCATGGAGACCTGTCACACCACCCCTCCCCCCATCCCAAACCCTGTTCAGAGTTTAAGTTCCTCTCTTATGACAGCATCAGACACCTGTTTCAAAATATATTAGATTTGGTTTTTATTGTAGAGCACACATATCAGGGCAAAGTGCTGCACACACAACTACAAATCATTTTTTGGGAAAAAAGCTGTAAAAAAAATAAAACTGCAACTTGCTTTAGTTACGCAGTCCCGACTTGAGGAATCCACGTTGGCAAAGGAGTTCTGACCCCTGAGAGGGGCTTGTTGATGGTGGCTGCCCCAGATTTCTGCAGCCTCAGGCCTGGGCCTCTGTAAGACAAGGTCCCCTGGTATGGGCCTCTGTTCTCAGTGGCCTGGGTCTTGGCCCTGGCTAGCAAGGAGATATTCCTAGTGAATCTAGATCAGCAAAAACTTGCAGCCTTCGAGGATCTGAGTAGGTGGAAACTGCCAAAAACTTTTTTTTTTCTTTTATTGTTTTTAAAAGCCTCTTCCCCAGCTCCCACACCCCTGAGGCAGAGGAGGCACCAACCCAGTCTGCAGGCCTGAGCTTGGCCCTGGATGCATGCTACAGGCGGACAGAGGGGGTGGGTGCCTTAATAGAGGGATGAAATGGGAAGAAGGCCCACGCTGGTCAATGTAGGAGAAAGGAAAGGGACAAGAAAAAGCCAGGAGACCCAAGAAAAATTAAAAACTCAAAACAAAAGCAAACAAAATCCCTACCACATACCACAACAATTTTCCATACCCCAAACGCTAGACTGGAAGGACACCAGTCCCTCTAGCTAGAAACAATTCCTAAAACGGCCCCAACATGGCAAGTCTAACTGTCCCATACAATAACACGGCATATGCTTAAAAGGAGCAACCCAGCAAAAAGGCGTGCTCTTGGCAAGAGAGGTCAGGACCACTGGAGCCAGCCCCTCGGCACTCCATGGGCAGAGCAGGCCAGTGGGTGTGGAGGAAGCCTGTGGGACTGACAATAGCTCTGGGGTGCAGTGGCTGGCATAGTTTAAACCCTTGCCCAGTCATCCTGAATGACTCTGCTGCAGGAGGAAGAGGGTATCTGCATGAACTTTGGGGGACTGGAGAGCAGATAAGAGGTGGAAGGACAGTTGGCCTCTGTGGAGCCTGCAAGGCCCAGGAGGAGACCTCAACCCAGAGCATTCATCAGTGGAGACAGGGAGGCAGGAGACAGAACTTCCTTTACAACACTGAAGGATTTACATTTAAAGCAAAACAAGAAATTTCTTAGCTAAAACATTTTGTTGCTTTTAAACAAACCCAGTCTGACATAACTCCAACTGAGGACAGCTGTCCCCCATACTTCTACTGGTCACTCCAGCATGAGCTTCCATTCCCTAATGATGCCAACAGCCTTTCCATCCAGGAGGAAAACCAAGAACATGAGAACCAGGTCCTGGTCAATCTGTTCTTCAGCCGTAACAGGCAATAAACCGAGGTGCAGTGAGGAAAGAGGGGAAGGATAAAAAAACAAAAACAAAAACAAAAAACAACTAAACAAAACCCCCCACAAACAAAACAGAAACAAAAACCCTCGAAACAAGAGGGGACAGCTAAGTGAGGATTAACCAGAGTTCCCAGGAGGGCGAGGCAGGCCTTAGTGCCTCCGCATCTTCACCTTTCTGGTGGGGCTGCCTGCCGCCTCTGAGCAGTCCTCCCCAGACTCGTAGGACTTGCGCCAGTAGTTCTCAGAGCTGAAGCTACCCCTCCGTCGGTGTGTGGGCAGCAGCACTGAGCGCCGGTTCTCTTCCTTGTCCATCTCCAGGATCCGAGGCCTGCAAGGAACGGGGGTAAGATGGGGGTGTTACCCAAAGATTGGCTGAGGGGCTTGGCCTCTCACCTCTGTGTGTGGCTCTGAAACTCATCTGAGGGATGACACTCTTCTTGGTGGTTCTCCATGGGGAATGGTATTGGTAGAAACACCAGCATCACAGTCTTTGCCCACTAAATGTTAGTGGCTGTTCTTTGAGACATTTCCCAATTATCCCATGGGGTCTGCTTGGCTCCAAGTTTGGTATCCCAGCACATTGCCAAAGCTGCAGAACAGAAGCAGCCCCCACCCCCCCACCCCCGCCCCATCACAGGCTCAAGACCCTACAAGGTCTTGCATCTACCTCTACTTCTTACTCCTCCCCTACGTCCACCTTCTATCTCTCCACCTACCACCTCTTTGCTCACCAACCATACAAGGCTCCTGAAATCACTAAGTTCTTCTTGCCTCAGAGTTTTAGTATGTACAGTACCTCTTGTCAAGAATAAGTTCCCTGCATGTCTTTCTCATCTTTCCAGTGTGAGCTGAAACAGTATGTCTTCAAAAAGGTGGAAATGCCATGAACCCCAGGGTTGATTGATTTGATTACCCAGGGTAATCAAAAAGACTCTGGAAAGGTGAGAAATGCCAGGCTCCTAATCACTTATCCCAAGTCTCCCCCACCCATCTCACCCTACAGCCAGGCCATAGGGTGGCTTTACTGGCTTTTATTAAAGGTCTTAAACTGAGTACCTGTGGGCAGCATCAGGGTCTGCCTTGCGGTGGGACCGTTTGGGTTTCAGAGCAGGATCTCTGTTGTTTCCTGATAGGCGATCTGAAGCATAGCTGGGTGGTAACAGAGAGCTGCTCAGGGACTTTGTTTCCAACCGGGGTGCATCTAATCTTGTCCTGCAAAGGGAAAATGCATGGGTTGCCAGTGGGCCTATGGTGAGAGTAGGCTCCATCAGACCAATTCTTGTTTCAGTCAGGCAGACAGAGGCCAGCAGTCTCTGCTCTGTGCCTTACTCTCTCCAAGTTTCAACTAGGAACTTCCTAAAACTCTCCATTTTAAGTTCAAATTTAGTAGTAGGTAACAGGAATACTTCTGCTTGTAGACTTCTAATGATATGGGTCTGTTGCCCTAGGAAAGGTATCAGGGCGCTTTCTCAGCGGCACAAGGCAGCTCCACCCTATCCCACTCAGGTCGAAAGGTTTTTCAGGGGCATCTACTATACTTGCCAGAGTACTGAGGACCCCACTGGTGGGCACCAACAGATACCTTCATCTTTGCCTGAAATACCAAGACAGGACAGTTCTCCTGGTCCAGGCCTGTGGAAAGGCTGGAAGTGAACAGAGTAAGAGCCATCCTGTTTTCTCACACAGGTACATTGAGACTGTAGCAGAACCAGGAGGAGACACCAGGCATAACTGCATCTTTACAGGCTTGGCTCTCATCCTGCTACAGTCACCTGGCAACATTTGCTGGTTCCCAGGATGCTGATTGAGCCAAGGTTAAGAGAGCTTTTGAAGGCAAAATCCAACTTACACTGGGTGTGAGTTTCAAGGAACATAGTGAAACACCTAATAAAGGAAAAACATTCAAGTATGGATGGGGAAAAGAGGAATGGGGAAGCTGAGTAGGGATAGTATCTAGGACAGTGGTCCAAGTCCTTTATGAAGCAAGGCCAGAAGGAGCTGACCTGGGAAACCTCAAAAAAGTCCAAGGCTTTCTGCTGTGGTAGAGAGAAGGCTGGCGAGTCAGGTTGGTGGTAGCAAGGAGCAAGAGGCCTGAGGTAGGGAGGGTGGGGTGTAGTTAGCTTCTTTACCTTTCCTATAGGCTGCTAGGCACAAAGTAATACTTCGGTTCACAAGGTGGGACTCAGGATATCCTAAAAGGACACCAAGGGGACGAGAGCAGGTTGAAAATCTAAGAGCTGCCTTGACCTATGTGGGTTGGCATTATTGGTAACAACTATATTCAGTCCTCATAGCACCACCCCCCCCCCATTCCCTACTGGCTAGCCTGCTGTAAATAGATGAAGAAATTGGGTCAGAAAGGCAATAAGTCACATGTCCTGGAAGTTGTGAAAGAAAGGCTTAGCCTAGGTGAGACCACAGACCTCTCAGGTCTTCTGAAATAGGAACCTGATAATTCCAATCTTCCAAGGCCTAACATCCTTCCTAATGTTTATGTATAATCTATGAATGCATTTGTTTGGGTGGGACTGAACAAAAGAAAGTCATGAATCTTCCCTGCTTCCCTGCTACAGGGCTCTGAATCTGGAAAGGAATCTTTCTCCTGGGACCAGCAGGGGGCGCCTTCTAACTGGGAACCAATGTTTGCCCACCTCAGGCCTAAACTGGTGAGCAGCAGATAGGCTAGGCCATAGTCCATGCCCTTTAGCTTTGGCCTCACAGACTGAGAGGCCTGAGGAACCAAGCTACACTGATTGGTCACGAGTCTCAGACTCCACCCTGGGAAGAAAGACCTAGTGGCAAAAGGAAGGCAATCCAGCCCTAATGCTGCTACTCAGGATCCCAGGCTAGTCATCAGGCCCCTCGAGTCTCAGTTTTCACACTGAAGCAAAGAAGGGAGAAATGTGATTGGCTCTAGGGCCTCTTTCCATTCTAATGGTCTAGAAACTGAAGAAAAGTCACCTCCTCCAAAGCTAGAATTCTTTAGAGGGGCTCTGGGAAGACATGGTGTTAGGTAATATGCGGATATTTAAGGGTACGTAGACTCACCCAAGATCCAAGGACCTTTTCCTTATTTTTAAAAACCAGGTCAGGTCTCATATATCTGCACTCAAGAGATCCAGGTGGCACAGACCAGACCAAATGAGCCAGCCATAAGCCTGACTCAGGAGGACTCCTCCAGGGGTCTGCAGTCTCATGGAAGAAAGACCCTCCTTAGCACCATGGAGCAATATCCAACACTAAGACTCCAAAGGCGCCAGGGAACAAGTGCTCAGGGCAGGAAAGCCCCAGCAAACCAAAAACCCCAATGAAATCCTAGGGGGTAGGACCCCACACCCTGGAGTTGTTTCCTCAGGTGAATGACAGATGGCAAGAAAAAAGCAGAACAACCAGGGGGAGAACCTGTGCCTCCAGCTGGACCATACACCCTGGGGCTGACCCCTACTGGCAGAGGCCGAACCCTAGCCCCACATTTCTTGAGAAGGTTATTACACAGGTGGCCTACCTGGACAGTAAGGGGCAGTGGTGGTGACTTATCACCATTTTCGAGGACTACTGGAGTACCTGAGGAGACTAGTGGGGCCGGCTAAGACTATACAGACAGGCCAGGGAGCCGGACTAGCTTTGTTTCTCTCTAGCTGCTAAAGGAGGGAACAGGTATTCTCCACATGACAGCTCTGCTGCTGTCAGGGAGACGGGAAATCTACCAGGAATCCAGCCTCCTGTATCCACTTAGGGGACAATATGAACTCTGAGGTACAAAAGGGCTCCTGACATGGATCTCTCGGGCTGCTACAAATACATCTCAGAATAGCTGGAAAAGCTCCTGACCTGCCTCCAATTCCAAAACTGACTGCAAGAAGCCAATCTATAGCCAGATCCAAGCCCAGAGCCCACCTGCAGCTTAACCTCAAGAGCATGAAGACAATGAATTTCCAGGGAGCAGGCCAGGCTCCTCAGGTTGTGGACAGAGCCACAGGTTTGGAGTCAGAAGTCCAGTTCCAGCAGAAAGGTCTAGGTAGGGGATGCCTCAGGTTGTAACAGGAACAAAGACCTGTGTTACAGATCTGAGTCAACATACAGCGGTCACAGCAAGGCACCCCAGGTATGCAAGGTAAGTGTTAGCCAGGCAGACCACCACACCCATATAGGTCACTCAGGGTGTTAGGGCAGCCCTCAGGACAAAGCAGGAATTGGGCACAGGTACAGGGAAAAGTCAACAAAAAAGATGACCAAGCACCTAAAGTAACATATTAACATGTGACCTGAGGAGAAGGAGGAAGCTGACTTGGTCCCAGAGGTCCCCTCATGTTCTTTTTCACTCATGGACTCCTCCAGAGAAGCTCCTGGGAAAGATTATTTCCCCTGTGGGAGTGGGAAGCAATGATAAATCAGAGGCCAAGTCATTGGCCTAAGTCACACAAGTACTACTCCACAATGGTTTCTTCTGATGGGCAGGTGGGTCCCTTCACTGCAGCAGAGCAGAGCTTTCCAGGTATACCGCCAGGTATACTCCCTTTCTGGGAGACAGGAAATCAGGTTGTACCTTCAAGCCCCACTGCCAACCACCCTCCAACCTTTGCTCCAACCTCACCATGTACCCTTCTCATACAAAGCCTGACTTTCCAAATGGAGCAACTAGCGGGCAGGGAGCAGTGTGGCAAACCTGTCTGAACACCCACTGTCTGAGTGACCTGGGCCACTAAGACTAAGCTCCAGCACCTCCACTATCAAATTCCCACAAAGTACAGACCTGCACTTCTGTCTCTCCTGCAACAGTACCCCCGTACCCCTCTTATACCAACCTCCCTCCAATTTCTGCCCTGCTCTCCTCTGCAAGACAGTTCTGAGACAGATAGAGAAGCATGCTATGGTCAGGAGATCCTAAGAGACACATGAGAATTACCAAAGAGAGAGCCCCTGAAGCACACAAATCTGGACTTTTGGCAGACCTCCCTGCTACTTCCCCACAGCTGCCCCAGGCCTGCAAGATACCCAGACCCCAAAATGTTCAGTCTGGCTACCATTGTGTCATACCATATGTATAACCCAGAGTTCCAGGAGCCAACACTCCACAGATGGGCATCAGACAACAAGGCCAGCAAAATGGATACCTAGAGACCCACAGTTCAGATGTGGTAAGATCTCAGTGTCATCCTCCAGGATACTAGAAGATCAGACACCAAGCTTGCTTTCCTCTACCTTGCCACCACACAACACACCGCTGGGGTTTCCCTTTCCTCCTGCACCATGTGCCTCTGTTCCCACTGTACCTCAACTGGACACAGCTTTTCTTAGCCCCTATACCTGACCTGTCAGAATCAGATCGGGGTATGGCGAGTAAAAGGCGATGAGAAACACTCTACATTCTCAAGTTTAGCCAGCACCACTATGCCCCCAATTTTTAGGGACAAATACAGGGCTCAGGTAACCTACTTATACTGGGGGAGGGAGGGACAGAGCCAGACAAGGAATCAAAACCAGTCACATTCCCTGGTGGTCCGACTTCGCCCTATTCCTCAAGAAAGGTTGCGGATTCATCAGGACAGTCAGGCTCTCAAATGAGTAAGGTTTATCCACATGGACACATACACTGAACCACAGAACAAAGAAAGACCAATCTTTGGCACAGGAGACAAGAATCAAGGGGAGAGGAGCAAAGGCAGACGTCTCAGCAGGAAATAAAGCCTCAGGTCTAGCCAGGGTCAGGGAAACCAAGTGCTGGTCACTTCTCCCCTAGGGCACAAAGCCCAGAGTCTGCCCTCCATCTCACCTGGATCTCATCCACTTACAGGGTCTCAATTAAAGCTGCTCTGCTGTCAGACAGGGTCTCACCCTGACCCCTGGGGCCCCTTGGCTTAAATGGCCAAACAAGCCTTTTAGTTTAGTCACCTGTAATCAGTCTCTCACTTGCAAATTCGCATCCCACATTCCATTGCTCACACACCTCAATGGCTTTCCAGTACCCTGCAGATGTCTCTGACACTACACGAAGTCTTCTCTTATCAGCTTAGGTCTTATCAAGCCCTCTACCCCGTCTCTTCTCTGTGTTCTAGAATGGACTACCTCAGTGTCCCTACAAAAGCCTCTGTAAAAAACATCTCTTCTGCCTCAAGTTTGTAAGAAGCATCTTTGTCCCTGAATATCTTCTATCCCGAGGTCCACATCCTTGATCACCTTCAGATGGCACTTCTCCAGAAAGTCTTCCTGGT